GATTAGTGTACTCAAACATTTCAAGATAAGAACAAGTAAAATGTATGAATACAAAAAAAAAAAATCTGCCAGTTCTGCTTAGTTACACTGGTTTTCTTAACTTAAAAATTGAGGCAACTGATTGCCTTAAATTTTGTGAGTTTTGCCAACTTATTGTAGTGTACTACATGACATGCGTGAATCAGTGGGCGGGGCTAAAGAGGTAATGATGTAGACATAGGCGTTCATTTTCTTCTACAGAGGAGGTGTTTTGTCACACTATTATGTCATAATGTGACAAAATCCAAAACGAGTCGTTTGGGCAGCTTGGTTTCAATAAAAACTGTTTTGGACTAACAAGGAAGTTTTGAATTTTGAAACTTACAGGATATTTTTTACAGTAGGCCTACAATGACTTCTTATATGTCAAAAGATCAAGGAAAAATTTATTTCTCAATTCTCGAACATCAGACTAGGGCTGTAGTCAACCAAAGAAATCCTTAGTCGACCAAAGTCTTGTCATGCGCAACGATTAGTCGACAAAAAAAAAAAAAAAAAAGACGCGATGTTTTGATTGAACATTTTTTAACAATTGTCATAGAGCATTTATAAAACAACAACGAAAAAACATCAAAAATACATAAAACTATAATAATAATAATACAATTCTTTGAAAATTAAGTGATTTTTTTAACTGCAAAAAGTGAGGAGCACTGTCCTAGGTCTATAGTGACAGTCACAATTGCGCACCTGACCACACCACACGCTACAAAAAAATATAACTGCTATCTGCCACATAATGAAACATCCTAACAAAAGCTCTCGTTTATACAGGCTGTATATTTTTCTTTACTTTCAAAGCTATGGGTTAACTTTTGTCCAGCCGATCTAGGCGTTTTAAAACAAACACACAAAAAACCCAGAGAGCCTAAAAAACAATCCTAATAATAATAGGCTGTATTGTAGGCCCGCATATAGGTTTATGTTAGTTTTGTTACATTATTTAGGCTATTTTCAAATACTTCAAGTGTACAAATAAAAACAAAAACATATCAAGAAAACACAATCTATTGAGTCAGCATGATAAAGCCGTTAAAGGGACTGCTCACGTCTTTTGCGCGCTCAAGTTCGATTTCAAATGTAGGCGCGCGGTGTGCGCGCTCATGATGGAAGCAACGCGGTCGTGCTGCGACGCGCTCTTTTTTCCGAGTGCGTCCACGCCGCATCGAGATAAAACATATAGTGTATAAAAACCGAAACAAGTAGCGTTCTAACTGAATGAATACAGCTAAACTACCTATATCCCTTAGTGAGCACGAAGCAGCAGCGCAGCCAGCCACCGAGTGTTCTATGTGTGTGTGCTAAACTGTGGCGCTGTTACAAAATAGCCTAAATTAAAGCATTTAAAGTTGGGGATAAACCATAGGCTAATTATTTTTAGAATACAGTAATATATAACTGCTTATAAAGGAATACAAATCAAGGAGTAAATCATTGAAAATTTCTTTCTATTGGTAAAAAAAAAAAAAAAAAAAACCAAAACCGGTCGACCAATAAGAATGTCAGTCGACCAAGACGGCATCGACCGATTAGTCGACTAAACGACTAAAGTTGACAGCCCTACATCAGACAGGAACACAACTGTTGTGATCTTCTTTCTGCTAATAGGCCTACATGAGTGCAAAGATGATGCATAATCAGAACAGTTTGATAACCCTCACTTCTGTGACTGTGCATGCCGTTCTGAAGCTCTCTTTAGAAGCCTCTTCTCCAGACTCCTAATTAGACAGTCAATAGAGACAGTCTGTCTTCTCTCAGAACCTATTCTGATCCAACTCCCTCTCGAATGAGAAAACGCAGAAAAGCACGAGAGTTCCCCAAAATTAACAAGGCCAGAGCTCAAGAATATGCCATTATCAGACCAGCGGTTCAGGATATGAAACTCCTCTCGTGTAGTTCTCCTGCATAAAGGCACTTCAATTTGTTGGTGTGGGTCATGAATGCATGGATGAAGTGCCAGTGTGAATGAGTGTTATGAGCTCAGCAGCTCATCTACCCCTACTACCCGGTGTCCTAATAAGCTGGGCTCTTCTCTGATCAGATATCACACTGTCAGTCCAAATCCGATTATTTGTGTATCCGATTGGAATCTGATCTAAAATGATTGACTGTCCACATTGTGTATAGCAACTGTTCAGATCTGATTTGTGTGTCCATGCCGCACTTTCATTTTCCGCAATATCTGTATTCGTTTCTACGGCAATGGCGTTGTGTTGGTAGGTATACGCCAAAAACAAGAACCACCGCAACATGGAGGGGTTTGCATTTGCAATAGAGATGTGGTCTTATTTACAACATTACATTGTGTAGCAGAACTACTGCATCTCCTGAGGCAGCGGCAGAAACGTAGGAGGCGCCGGGTAATGTGTGGCTTTATTCCGTGCTGTCATCTCCGCCGGTTTCAAAACATGTCTCCGCTATATTGTCATTTTCTGCTCAACCAGCACTTTGCAACAACACAACCTTGTTTCTGCAGCGACTTTCAGCACGTTTCCTATAACAACATCTGAAGTTTTTTTATGTGGTGTGAGAAAGTCACATAAACCACGCTAAACCTGATCAGAGGCGGATTTCCAAAAATGCGATTTAAGTAGGATTTCAAACCACATATGAATGTAGCTCGAAACGCATTTCATGTGATATTTTGCCGTGCACACTTGCTAAATCTGATAGGATTTCAATCGGATATGCAGAAAAATCGGATTATGACTGATATCCTGAACATAGCCAAAGAAGATGCTAAAGTATTCCAAAGAAGTGACCCAAAAGAAGAGTTTATTGATTATATATGCTAATGCTATTTCGAAAATAAAACCTAATACACGGATGGGTTGAATGTATTGCGATGTGTGGGAAGTGTGTCGAGCAAGACTGAGAAAAGGAGGAAAAAGGGTGTTAAACTACAGACATGACAACAACACACAAAGAAACATTATAATCAGAGAAAATGTAGAACAGAAATCTATAAGGACCTCATGAAGATATAGCTGAGCTAGTGTTTCACTCTAAAGAGAAAAAACTGGACAGATAACGTTAGACTACGACTGTCAAGGAGCCCCATATTAAACCCAGAAAATATCCTCTGCAATTTTCTCTCAGTTCGACACGCCTATTCTCATGGGGTCCAGATGAGTGGCCTGGCTTTTGGACAACATTAAAGGGCGGAAGTGCGTTTTCTTTTGAGAGGAGAACAAAAATGTAAAAGTTAGGAATAGTTATTTGCAGACCATTACGTACAGAGACAAAGACTCAGATTGGTTTATTGCAACAGCAAACCCTGATTAACCTTATTAACAAATGAAATAATTTAACAAATGACAGTTGATTCTGAGTGCCACACAATAAAGCAAAAGAGAAATGAATACACAGATCAACCACTCTTCTTAAAATATAAGGGGAACTACGTGGAATATGTCTCCTTATAAAAAATTATCTGCCACAATGTCCATCTAAAACGTATGCAAAAAGATGATTAAAAATGTGGAGAAAAGTTAAAGAAATGGTGACCAGTCACAAGCCATTAAATACTGTTCCTTATAGAGTCCTATACATTTCCACCTAACATCTTGAAGGTGGACACGTTATAACTACCCATAACTAGGACTCAAGTGATATCAGTAAGCTACAAACTAGATGCTGCTGAGAATGATAAGAAACTGAACCACCTGACTGCTCTGAAGTAGATCCGTCACTGGCTCTTAAAGGGATAGTTCAGACAGAAATTAAAATTCTGTCATTAATTACTCACACTCATGTCGTTCCAAACACTTAAGACTATCGTTCATCTTCAGAACACAAATGACAATCTTTTTGGTGAAATCTGTGAGCTTTCTGTCCCTCCATAGACAGCTATGCAACTACCACTTTGGCTACACAAAGCTCATAATTTCGTAAAATTAATCCATATGAATAGAGCAGTTTGGTAAAAAATTTTTTTTGAAGAGACACGATCGCTTTTAAAATGATGAACAGATTTCATTTAGGCTTTAATTCACATAAACATTCATCAATGCACACAGTTGTGGTAAACAGAAGCTCAAGCATGTTCACTTGACACGTGAGAACCAATGAGGATCATTCTCATGCATTATGCAGCGCGTTTGAGCTTCCCAAGAACCAATGAGGTTTGTTCTTGCCCATCAAGCAGTTCGGTTGAGCTTCTGTTTATGTTCGCTGATCAATGTTAATATGTGAATAAAAGCATAAATTCAATCCGTTCATCATAAAAAGCGGTTGAGTCTCTTCAGAAAATTGTGACTAAACCGCTCAATCCATATAGATTAGTTTTACAATCTCTTTATCAACTTTTTGAAGTGACAAAGTGGTAGTTGCGTAGCCGTCTAATGGAGGGACAGAAAACTCTCAGATTTCATCAAACCGATAATAATTTATTTCGAAGATGAACAGAAGATTTGGAACGACATGAGGGTGAGTAGTTAAGGACAGAATTGTCCTTTTTGGGTGAACTAACCCTTTACATTTTCAGTGGAGAACAATTGAAAATGTTGAAAATGGCAAATGCACTCAGTGCGTAACAAAATATCGCTGCTTTATTCAACGCATAAGGATCTATAACACTCAGCATCACTTTGGTGAATTAAATCTCTTTTAGAGTATTTTAAGTGGTGCCCAGGTATCGAGTGAATGAGCTGAGCAACGTGGAGAGGGAGCGAGCGTTCGCGAGCGCGCACAGAAGAGAGAGAGAGAGAGAGAGAGAGAGAGAGAGAGAGAGAGAGAGAGAGAGAGAGAGAGAGAGAGAGAGAGAGAGAGAGAGAGAGAGAGAGAGACACGGGAGGATGTTGGAATGTTACATTGTAACATTCGTAGAGGGGAAACATGCAAAACCAGCGGTGACATCACACGCGTTCCGTTACATTAAATCGCGCATAAAAATAAAAGCGTGTTCAAATGCGCAAAGCATTGCAATCCAGAGAATGCATAACGCAAATTGGCGTACTTACCTCTTTAATTTGTGAATATTACTTCGCAGCCTTCTTTTGTCTACAAAAGAAGGCTGTTAAAGCTGTTAGACTCGCTACTGTCCCATATAGCCTACGCTCAGCCCTGGCGAATAAAACACGAGCGAAGAAGCAGAAGTGCTCATTCCCGAGGTTTGCTTTTATATAGCAGGAGAACAACCGAATCCCGCATCATTCTGGTCGGTTGGAACGGCAGCATAATCCAAGGCCAATCTCCGATCCACTGAGCCCATACTTCTGCTTGACAAGCCAAACAAACGCATGAAGAACAGGCCGACAGCGCGAGCTTGCAGGCGAGTTGAGACTGTAGTGAGACGCAGGGCGAGAACGCACTTCCGACGGATGGGGGAGTGACGAGCGTGGTGGCCAACCAATGAGAGTGCAGTTCGAGAGAGCGTTGCCTCGGTTGCCACCCTGAAAACGTGGAGACCCGAGATAATGCATGAGTGCCAAGGGATGAATGATTAATGATTATAGTCAATCAGACAAAGTAGCCATCTGTTGCCTTTAACCGCACAGTGTGTGTGTATTGCTTATCAATAGGAGAGTGATTCATGCCGTCATTAATTCTTAAAAGGAAACGTTGACAATATCACAAAAAATAATTAATGTAGCCTAATGAATTATGAATGTGATATAGGCCTATGTACAAATATATATTTAAATAGGCTAAAAATAATAATACAATATACAAATAGCTTAGCTGCATGTATAAAATAACAATATACAAATAGCTTAGCTATATAAAATAACAATTATTTGCTGAAGCACTGAAATAAATATCTAACACACACACACACACACACACACACACACACACACACACACACACACACACACACACACACACACACGACATATATATATATATATATATATATGAGAGTGTTTTTGATTACCTGTTTAAAATATTGTATAATGTTATAATAGAGTCAGAATATTTTTTATTGTGTATCATTTTCAATTAAGCTGTAATTTTGGGAAATTAATTTAGTCAAAAAGTGCAAGGAAAAAAATCATTTTCTTTTGGTTATTTCGGAAACATAAACTACCAAGTGTATAAAATAAACACGACAATGAGGTTAAAACGATAATTGCTATTTTATTACAAAAATGTTTAAAATGTACGTAATTTACACTGCATGCTGCTTAAAATTATACAATTAATTTGAGATATTGTGGAAAGGAAAGTGTGGTGGACATGATATTTTAGGGAAATGTCAAAATGATAAATGTATATCCACTGTTTGAAATTGTACAATATAGTCAGATTGCAAAAACTGTTTTAAGGGACACTAAAAGTCCACCGGACCAAAAATGCTCAGCCATAAATGTAGGCCTATATGCTTTATTAGACAAGACACATGTGTTTTGATTCACATATGGGGCATGTTATGTTTTTTTTTAATTATTATTATTATAATTTTTTACATATACAAACCCAAACTGATGTGCCATGTTACGTATGATTCTTGTCATGGGGTTTAAGTTTGTTCAGAATGGCCTCTCATGCGTCTATTTATGTCCAGACAAAGAAAGCATTGTCCAGAGAGGTCTGATGTCTACTGGCAGTTGCCGACAGTGATTTCTGATGCACTAAGTATATGAACATCGACGCTGGCATTTCGGGGGTGGAATGAAGTAAGCTTTAAGACCCTCAAAGAGCCCTAAATGGCAGCTTCTATTCTTGCAACACAGAGCCTATACACACTCATAAACCCTGCACTATCAATGTCTCAAAGGGGCATTCATCTGGTGATGTCATCATTTGGACTCACACCACATGCTAGACTCGTGTCGTGTGAGGCCATATAGTGTGAGCTAGAACATCTTTGACTAATGTCACTGCAGGATGAGAATCAGCCTCAGGGAAAAGTCCTGATGTCCAAACAACATCACTATTCATCCTCCAGCAGACATCACTCATCTAATTTTCGTGTCTGAGACAAAAAGGACACAGTTCCAAAATGAATTGCATTAAACTGAGTTTTCGAAAGTTTAGGCCATTCTTTACCATTTAAATATATATATATAAAAAGACTTTGCGATCATTTGTTCAGTAAAACTTGTAATATTAATATCTTAAAGTATTATCCAGCAGAATTTTGCTCTTCATTGCTTCTAAGACTTATTTGTTACATATTGCTTTTCCGAGTACTTACAATGCTTTACATATAAAACGCTCAACCACAATTTATAGAAATAAATTGATACATTTGTTCAATTAGTGTTCAGATATGCCTCAGGTGCTTTTGTTAAATTGATATTCAAATCAATAACTGATATTTGAGACAGCTTTTCTGCAAAATCTGAGGACAGTGGCCTTTTCGGTCACTCACTGTAAATCTATAATGGTGTGTGTGTACTGAGCAAATATACATGAGTGTGGTGCAATCATGAGCAAAAATAAAGGGATGCAAACACAAAGCTATTAGATAATGTTGATGAATACAAGTATTTGTATTAAAGCATGCTGCAATAATGGTGTTTTTTAAGTGGTAAGTCTTGTCACTAGCCTATAAAGATATCGTATTTTCTTTATCTTTTTACATTAGGCCAATATATGATTTTGAAGATTTGAGATTGAGACAAGTAGAAATGCCCGTATATTGTTCACTTGTGTTAACGAATAAATCAAACAATCTTCTCAAAAGAAGCTTATAGTTTGAAAGGCAAAGCAATATGATGCATGTACCTTTACAGTCTTGTATAAGGACACTGCCACCTACTGGACTTCAAGACTCACTAAATATGATTTAAAGGGATAGTTCACCGATAAATGAGAATTCTGTCATAATTTGCTCACGCCTCAAGTTGTTCTAAACTCTGTATGAGTTTCTTTCTTCTGCTGAACACAAAAAGAAAGATATTTTGAAGAATATTTGGCAACCAAACATTTGATGGGTTCCATTGATTTCCCCCCCATATTTTTTCCCCAATGGGGCCCATCAACTGGTGGGTTACCCATATTTTTCAAAATATCTTATTTTGTGTTCAGCAGAAGAAAAAAAAAGAAATAAGAAATTTATACAGGTTTGGAACAACTGATTTACATCATCTGTAAATGATGACAGATATTTCATTTTGGGGCGAACTATCCCATGTGATCTTAAACGTTATGATAAAAGTAAAAGTTGTTTAAATGATAAACAGACCTGGCACCTCAGTCACCTCATTTTCCAATCACCAGGATCACGGATTCCTAAATAAAATGACGTTCTGCACTATTGGGCAGCTCAAGATAACAGAAAGAGCAACAGGAAAGCTTTTGTAAAACACAAGAAATGTGTAGGCTATATGTGCTTTCATATGCGCCATTGACAACACTTGGACATTTAAATGAACGATGCAACAGTGGTCAGTACACATTACTTATAATTCTTTCATAATACTTTACCCATATATAATAATATACTTTATCACACAGCATCATCTAAGCCTGCTGCTGTAATGGAAATTCCATCCACGAGATGGCGCTTTGCTTGACTAATGATAAACTGGACCTCAAAATATCACATTTTCAACTTCAAAGTTGTCCTCAGTTGTCAAAAGTCTTCATCTAGTTGAAGAAGTTTTTTCTCTTGCAATTACATTGTAAACATGTTTTATCCGTATGTCATAACACTATGTTTGTTTGCATCCATTTAACTTGCTACAACATCTCCTGTCATTTTTACTCGACGTTGGATGTTCAACTCGATCTTGTTCATCAGTAAAATTGGTGGAAGGGGTGGAACAGGGTTGATTTACAGTGTAGTGCAGCACTGGAGTTGTCACAGTAGGCTATGTATTGTAAACATCCATATGCAAGATGACGATAACACCCATAAAGACCAATAATACACGATTCTAGAAATGGCTATATCACTATGGGGCCAGACCATTCTGTTCAAATAATCATTCATGATCAAATTGGTCAAAGAAATATTCGGTTCTGACTAAGAATAAGAACATGGTCGTCTGCATTGCAAGACTTGAGCAGGGTGCATTATTCACACTTGGTATTCACACACACGCTTCATCTTTACAGCCCTGTGGATGATGATGCTGGACCAGAGAGCGGGTCCAGAAGGGCCGCTTCAGTGCCGCACACACTCAACCCTCTCCGCGCACTAACTGACGTGTTTTGCGCATTTCCTGGACCAGCCTTCAGACACACTCAGTCAGGAGAAAAAGAGGCAGGTCTGCAGGAAACTGAGTACCGACGGTCAAACAAGAACCCTGGGAGAAGCAAGCGAGCACGGAACCCTTGAAAACACTCGTCCACGTTCTCCAGTCTGGGGGGAATCGAACGACACTTTGCGGGGATAACTTTCCTCCCAATGCGCGGAGGAGACGCATCCAGCAGCGCTCCAGCCAGACGAGGGAACAGGCTCACCCTGAGGAGATCCAGCAAATATTTCTGGCATATTTTGAGGTGTGGAATGCTGGTCGTATCGGTGTTGATACACCGTAGCTCTCCTTTTTCGCTCCAACTTGCATTGACTGCCTACAGGGGTGTTTGGACAGCTTCAAGATCACATGCAGGTTATCCGTAGGTCATAGCAATAGATTTCCTTTCTGTCTGGACCTTCTACACTTTGCATGCAGATCCACGAGGACGACGAAGGGCATTTTACCGTTGTTTCAAAAGGAGAAACAATCCAGAAATCAAACCGGTGGACCGTGACATACACTGGTTGAATAATTAACCAGGCGCCGAAGTGGAATATTCGTACTAAAGCTCTCGAAAGTGGCCATGGTGGTCTTTAACGGTCTGCTGAAGATTAAGATCAGCGAGGCTTTGGACCTGAAGCCCACAGCCTGGTCTCTGAGACACGCCGTCGGCCCCAAGACGCAAACCTTCCTGCTGGACACGTACATCGCACTCAACGTTGATGATTTTCGCGTGGGTCAGACCTCGACCAAGCAGAAGACCAACAGTCCCGTCTGGCACGATGAGTTTGTAACGGAGGTGCACGACGGTCGGAAGATCGAGCTGTCGGTGTTTCATGACGCGCCGATTGGCTACGACGACTTTGTAGCCAACTGCACCATTCAGTTCGAGGAATTGCTGCACAACGGCAGTAAACACTTCGAGGACTGGGTAATGTCTTTTTGTAGATTTTTTTGTTTTCAGGGTGCGACTTATAGGGTAGCCTACCCCCCAAACCATTTAATCCATTTAATGGTCGCTGTGATTTGGAACACGTTTAAAGAAATGGCCAACCTGGTCATTAACTGCCACCATATTCTAAAAACCAGCCAGTAGGACCAACTGGTAGTCGGATTGTTACTAGTCCAAAATTATTTTCATTGATCCACCTAGCTTGCATGTACCAAAACACAGTCAACAGTTGGGGGTTAAAAAGCTGGGGGTTTTCAGTTAAAAGTAAAATGTTGTAGGGTCCTCAGATGTCCTCAGTTGTCTTTTTCATACACATATATGAATCTCATTTCAGTTTTTGTAGTAAATGTTTCAGTAGCTACAAAAGTTAGGTTACAGGTTGACCACAGGGCGCATCACCTGTCTTCAAATAGATGCTAGAAAACATAATTGTCGTTAACCTGATGAGGTAATCTGCTCTAGCTTTCCATAGCCATCAGTATGAGAGACTAGAAAAAACATGAGACGTTCTGTCAGTTTTTTAAATCAATGATTTAGTTACACCATAAGAACATCTCAAACATCCCAGTTATGACTGTGTTAAAGGGATAGTTCACCCAAAAATTTAAATTTTCACCATTTACTCACCCTCATGTTCCAAACAAACCTGTGTGAGTTTCTGTCTGCTGTTGAACACAAAATAAGATATTTTGAAGAATGTTGGTAACCAGACAGTTGACGATATAGCCATTGACTTCCATAGTTGGAAAAAAAATGACTATGGAAATCAATGGCTACCATCAACTTTTTGATTACATTCTTCAAAATATCTTCTTTTGTGTTCAGCAGAAGAAAGAAACTCTTTTTGTTTGGAACAACTTGAGGGTGTGTAAATGATGACAACATTGTCATTTTTGGGTGAACTATCCCTTTAACTGTTCTGTTCTAGTGGCACCGAATGCTAAACATCCTGTAGTAGGCTTCAGTAGATTTCAAAAGATTAATCCCGAAAATACCTGTAAAATTCCTTTTTTAGACGTCAGTTTATTATGTCATAGTGCAATATTTTATTGCCTTGGGTAAACAAAACCTCATTGTTCAAAATAAAACCCCCCACCAAAATGAGAACACACATAGTATCTTCCCTTGAACATTCTCTTCACATCATTCGTGTCATGCGCAGGCAGCAGGTGTGTGTATTACTTTCCTCTTTCTCTGATGCCACCTGCATAATTTCTGCAGCAAAGGCCTCAGATAAATGCTCAGATAACCCCGGTTGCATAGAGACGGCGAATGAAAGAGGTTGGCTGCCTGTCATAAATATTTCTGCTGCTGAAAAGAGCCATGCAGCCATCATTAATGCAGACATAATCTGATGCCAAACGGTCCGACAACTTGCATCTTTCAATCTGTTGAGCCTGAGGTTAGGGCAGTATTTGTAAATCTGGTATTTTGTAACATGTAAATGTTCCCACACAGGCCTAAAGTGTAAAATGTTTTGTCAGGTAACTTAACATTTCTAAATTATGTGATAGAAATGTCATTAAATACAAATGTATTATTAAAAATAATTCAATAATTTAGTACAATTTATCTGAGATGACTATATAAGATTATTGCCCTTACATTTAAGCTAAAAATATATGAGCCGGAGCAAAATTTTAGTGATACTTTCATAGAAACACTTAACCATCACATTTATGATATTAACCATCATAAAACAGCCACTAGTTGCCATATAGAATCAGACCAGGAGAGTAGAACCATTATAACTGAAATATACATCAGCTATTATAACATTTACACCTATTTATGACATTTTACACCATTTTTTATTTTCAATTCAGTCCTAAACCTTGTAATCGGTATTTGATTGTCATTGGCAAACACGATTAGCATATGTCGTATTTATCCTGGCTGCCCTGAAATGTCTCAAGATCAGTCAAAACGATGAATTGTACCAGAGTAATAGAATATCAGCTCCGCTGTGGTGTTAAGAAGTACAGTGCCAATACAATCGCCTGCCTTTATGTTGCCTTCTCAGATTGGATTGCGGCAGGATTGGCCCCTGTTATTAAAGACAGAGAGCCTTATAAGTCTGTGTGGAGAATCTGGGCATCCTGATCTGATCTATTTACACAGGCACATGGGTTCACATTTATCCAGATATGTTGCATGAAATCTGAGTTGAAATATAAACATGAGTATAGATGCTTGTTTATACAGATTACTGATGCATAGAGAGATATAAACAGATTTGTTCAATTTCAATGCTGGCAGATCTCTAATTCTTTTTAAAGCTTTGTTGAGCTGTGTTGCTTTCTAATGTCTACACATGCAGCATCCTATGTTTCAGCAAAATCTGTTCTCACACAAGTATTTTTTGTTAGTTTTTGAGGAGCCCATTGATTTTCCTCTATATATACTGTGTGTGTGTATATATATATATATATATATATATATATATATATATATATATATATATATATATATATATATATATTAAGGTTGTTGACACATGAAAAGTTGAGGACTTCTTAAATAAATTCATGCTTTCAGTTGGTAATGACAGTGCAAACAAGTAACCAGGGGCCAGTTGCACCAGTTTAAGTTACAACTTACCCTAGTTGGGGCCTTCACAACTTACAGCATTAACATCATAGCTTTGTAGTTTGTACCATTGAATGCATTTGACATTTAACCACATGTATACAGTATGCATGCAGGTTGAAAAAAAAAAAATGTCTGATCTGTTTTGTGTGACTTCAGTCCCTCATCCACATAAATGAGGATGTTGACGTTTGTGCCAATTTACATTGGAAAAAAAAATGAACAACGATCTAAATGATGCAGTTCCTGTGTGTTTGAATTCTAAAAATAATTATTTGGTGACTTACATTTATTTACATTTTTTAAATAAATATATGTCAAATTTATTTCTTTTCCATATAACTTTTAAATATATTGTTTATTAAATTTTAGGGATGCACTATATATCGGGCACCATATCGGTATCGGTTCATTATGTTCATTTTTAATGTTATCGTTGTCGGCCTGATAAGAACATTTGGCCAATATATTAAAGCTGATAAATAATAGCTGAGACACTTCAGATGCACACTGTTCGCCATGATGGTTTTGAATTGCTTGAAATATGATTAGAATCAGTTTCAAAAAAAGAAAATACAGTTTAGTGCAACAGTTAAGTCTGTCATATTAGGCTACATACAATTATGGGAACATTATTATTGTGTGTTTGGGACATGGCTTTTAATGGTGAGACTTTTATTTTTGTTATCAGGCTCTCAAAAAGTATATAAAAATATGGATTTAGATTTATCATCCAATATAACGGTTATCAGCTTTCAATTATAAAGAATTATCGGTATCGCCCAAAATGTTCATATCTGTGCATTTCATGATCATTTAGCCCATTACAATGACTCTTATTATACTTTAAATTTGGGATTGTTTACTATGAATATTGATGTTTACTTTGTTATAACAAATTGCTTGTGATGTTCCTCATTTGTAAGTCACTTGATTTATTAATGTACTAATATAAATCTGAAATGCTCAGCTTTAAGGCTGCTTGAATCAATAAAGGTAAATATCATATTAAATGATTACACATTACTTCAGGGAGGGTTTTGCTTTGAGAGCAAATGATGCAACCAAATTAACTAGATATTTATTTACAAGCAAACTAGTAGCTACTAAGTCTCTGGTGTAAATGTCCTATTTTAAATAAGACCATTTTAGGTGCGACCCTACCTTACCCAAGCCTTTCGTCCTCAGGCAAGCAGGATTCCTGGCAGAGCGTGTCTGTGTGTGTGTGTGTCATAGTGAGTATCTGTCAAGACAGGCAAGTGCCTGATAGTGTAAAGAGAAAAAGAGCATCAGTCTGTGGGACAGATGTGTGCAGAGGCAGGCTTTGGTTTGGCTCACGGGAAGCGCTTGTGTAATTTGGAAGTGATTTGTTAGAAAGTGTGAGAAAGGTTGTAGAAGTTTGGTCAGACTATAAGAATTACTCAGTCACCTATTTTCCCACGAACCCTACACATTCACACAAACACACTCTCACCTATTTTAAAGGCGGCTCCTCCCCGGTCGTGCCCACACTTGCACGCTGCAGGCTTATTTTGTTCTAAAGGGCATGTCAGTGTTATGTTGTTCATCCTAGGCAGCTCATTGCTGGAGCTTTTCATCTCCATTTGTTTTAACCGAGAGCTGCGTGGTTGGGCCAGTTGGAGGTGTGAAGGCCGAGGTCTGCCGGCTGTGTAAACTTTAGAATAAGTTAGAGGTTGGGCTGAATCCACATGCACCCATATCTGTCTGCACTGTCTTTTATCTGCCCTCGGTAGGATTGTGAACTAGGTTTTGGTATCGGTTGAATTTTAGAGGCTATGATTCCGATCCTGCTTATCGATTCCGAATCTTCTCGATTCCCAGTTTCGATTCCAAGAAGGTAGATAAAAAAAATAGACAAAAATCATCAGAACACACAAGAAACTTTTGCCTATTGTTTTAACAATACCACAGCATAAAAAACTGCATTTCAAACATTATTACAGACAAGTAAGAAAACAAGACCAAATAAACAAATTAGCATAATAAATAAATACAGCTATACTAGGGCTGCACAATAAAAACATTTTGCAATATTTCGTTTTTCTGCGATATATTTCTGTTTCAAAATTTATAGGCAAGACAAGTAGTTTGTTTAGGCATGGGTTGTATGGAATTACAAACCTGCGCACATATTTTCAAAAGCACATAACTATAGAATCAATTCTGAATGTGCACGTGAACGCCGTCAGCGTTAATCACAGGTTCGCGTTTAAAGTCTGATCATTTCGACGGAGGTGAATCAATCAAAATTAACTTTACCTGGAAATAACATTCAAGAACCGCTATAAAACCAAAACAATCTCTGTTACCTTAAATTATGTTTATCTCTGTAAAGCTGCTTTGAAACAATCCATTGTTAAAAGCGCTAT